CTTGGCCTCAGTGAACCAACATGGTTGATTAGGAACAGTTGTTCCACTTGGTGGTAGAATGTTCTGATATGTGTGCTCCTCTGTCTGCCCCTTCCCTCAATTAGGGGATGAGCCCCTTGGGGAGTTGAAAGTATGTCCTCTAGCTCATGCATAGGCTGGCATGCAGTGAGAGCTCTGTATGTGTGTGTTGACTATAACTTATCTGGGGGTGTCGAGGGGCTGGGTAAGCCCACGCTGATAAGAGAGATGAACGGCTTAAATAAAGTTGGGAGCTAAGACATTGTCGTGGGCATATACTACAGTAGGACCAAGAGGATATTTGGATGGGGGAAGAAAGAGGAGTTGGGTCTTGATCTCCTCTCTCTTTTCTGTCAGGTTTCTGGTTGGGGTGTAGAGTTGAGGAGCCCTGTTCCTCCTAAGGAATCTGAGGTACAGCTGTAAGAGATATATCCGGGTGATCCCAACATACTAGCTAGAGGGGGCAGAGAGCTTAGAGTTTCTCTGAGTGGTTGGGGACCCCTGGGTAAACCACAATCACAGTAACAGGGCAGGGCTCCCTGATCTGCCTAGGCTGGTCCCTTAGGAGGGTCTCTACTTCCCCCATCCCCTTTTCTCATGGATTGACCTCTGTTCTCACAAAGCTGCCCTTTCCTTCCCGCCTTGAAATCTGATAATGAAACTAATACCCGATATTTTTGCCTGGGAGAGAAGTAGGAGATAAACAGGAAGGCACGAGGGATTAAGGTGTCTCTCCAAGGCAGGGGTTGCAGTTGCTGGGAGTTGGGTGACACCTCTGTGTAGAGGTGAAGGATCCAGATGTGAGCCACTTTGTCCAATGCATTTTTCCATTTGTGTAGAGAAAATAAAACAAAGAGAAAAGAAAACAAGCTGTAAAATACTTTGCAGAAGTCTGAGCATGGTCAATTGTCACTTGATGTTCCCTGACAGCCCCAAGGAGGGGCGAGGGGTGCTTTTTGATGTTGGCTTCAGAGTTTTCTTTTGTATGGCCAGTTGTTTGGAAAGAACCTTTTGTTGGTGTGAGGTGTGTGTGGAAGGAGATTCCAGCCCCAGCTTCCTCAAGGGGTGGGGAAGGCAGCTCTGCACTCCCAGAAGGAAGCGGCTCACTGGGGACACAGGACAGCTGGGGCCTCCTTTACAGAGGAGCATGTGGGGTGAGCATCTGCTTCCATGAAGGACCAAAAGATGCTGCTATGAGGCCTTTCTGAGTGCAGAAGAGACTTGAGGAAAATGAGCCCCAGGAGATCCTTCCAGATCCCTGACCCTGGCCAGGTGTACCAGGCTCTGAGGTTTCTGTTCATGCAGGAAAGATCCAGGTTCTGACAATGTAGTCCAGGCTAGCTGTTGCTTGTGGTGATGTGCATTCTCTCTGGGGCAGTGACCAGCAGCAGGGAGGCCTGCTCTCACTGACTTCTCCATCCTGGACTGGTTGGTCACTTCTCCTTTCTGAGCAGGCTACTGTCCCCCTTTGTCTAGCTAAGTGAGTCTGAAGAGACAGTGAGGGTAGAGTTGAAGCTTCTTAGTGCCTGGTTGAATTTGGCACTTGGGGACACCTGCTCAGGGACACTTAGTAACACCCTTGGGAGTCAGATTTGTTCTCTAGTCTAACTGGGCTTCCAGCTGTTTTGAGACATAGGGGCAGGAGCAATATCTTAGCACTTCCTTGAAAGTCCTCCACCTCCCCTTGTCAATTGAGTGACTAATGGGTGCATGATTTGGGGACAACTCTAGGAAGAACACTTAAAGAAGCTCATTATAACATCAGAGAACAAAATTAAAGTGGCAGTTGTAAAAAAAAATCACAAGTAAAAATAGCATCAGAATAAGAAACTGGTAAAAATATTTTCAGCTTGTGTAGTGGAAAAGACTAATGTCTTTAAGCCAACCACAGAAAGGAGAGAATTGGGTGATGGTCTGAACAGGCAATGCACAGAAATGGAAATAGAGACAGAGGGTGACAGGCCTCCCTCCCCGGTAAGCAGAGACATGCAGGTGGAACTCATGTGAATGTCTTTTCCCCCAGACAATTTGGCAA